TACTCAGGTTTATTTTTGTCCGAATTAACCCGATCGGAAATGTCGGAAGGTGATTTTCAAGGCAAAGACCCCATATATTTCTTTTTGCTCAATCAACATGCAGATTCATGACGACCTTAATTTATCATGTACAGTGCCTGATTTTTTTATGATGATTATTTATTTATGCGATCTCTATAAAAACAAGAATTCGATATAAAGATAACGCACAAAAATAATTATCAATCTCAATAAAGTGAAGGAACTAGCCTCTTTGCATAAAATAATATGCCAAGAACAATACGTAATATGTATGTATGTACTTAATTGCACATATTGCTGAAACTTGAAATACGCGTTACTAAATTTAGCATATCTCTCCCGCATATCTCTCCCACACAATCACCATATATACGTATGTACGAACGTACATACATATACACATAACAAACAAAATTTTTTAGCTATTGTCATATAAAAAACAGTATTTAGTACGTAGAAGTTTTGTTTTCCAAGCAAAGTATATAACTCTGGCTAAGATACTTTTCTATAAGCTAATTCTAATGTTTTATGAAATATAATATAACTATCGGAAATTGAATAACTAGAAAGTCACAAACAAAGCTAAAAACAAAGTTCACAAAAAACCAGGGCAAGGTGAAACCAAAGCAGAACTGAAACAAGAGCAAAGCAAAAGAAAAACAGAAGTAAAGGCAAGGAAAACCCAAGCCAAACCGAAGTGTAAAAACTCAAGGGCAAGGTAAAATTAAAGCAGAGACCACGAAACCTCAAAGCAAACGATCATAATAAAAATAGCATTTCCTACCAATAATGAAGGAATATCTCTATCTAGTAATGAAGAAATATCTCTGCCTAGTAACGATGAAATATCTCTGCCTAGTAACAATGAAATGCTACCTAATAATGATGCAGCTGTTACACCTAATAATAATGAAACTATACTGCCTAGCAACGACGAAACCATACTATCTAGTAATAAAGATGAAATTCAGTATGGTAATTCGAATAATAATATTAAAATACGAAATAGAAGCAATGACGCAACACTACCTGATAATAATACACAGTTAAGTAACATTAGTGATTTAGAAGATTCAATTATCGATACCACAAAGTACTATATTTTGATTTTTATTGTTGTATCATCTGGGCCGATAGATATTATTGAACCATTTTTTAGTTTTCTTATTTGAAGGATATCTAAGGTGATTAAAATTAGGATCAGGGTTTGTTTAAGGTTAGGGTTATGCATGTATTATAGTACAATTGTAGTAACATTTTCTGAGATACGTAGTTAGAATAGATCTTCAAAATAAGAAAAATGAAAAATGGTTCTAATTTTATTTTCTGTTAATAAGTCTAACTCAATTTTTTTATTTCGGCGTTCTTAATTTAAAATGATCCAAATTTTAGTTCTTTCTATCTACAACCAACCATAGTACCACCTTATGTTGGACAAGTCTTCGAAACGTGAGAGGATGTTGATGAGTATCTCCATGGATATGCGTGGCAAGAAAAATTTGTAGTTATCAAAATTAGAAATGAACGGAGTCCCCCACCAGACGAAACTTATAGGTGACGCACTTATGCGTGTGATCATCAGGGTACTTATGAACCTAAAAAAACTGTGATTCTAGAAAATTAGAGAAATAGCAAATCAAAACGTAATGGATGCCATTGGCACATTAATTTGACCTTTCCGAAAAAGGCTACAACTATTAGTATAACATCTTTAGATCTTAATCATAATCACCCTCTTGATCCTATGACCAATTTATATGCAGCCAAAAATTGGACATTACCTGAAGCCATTGAACAAGAAATTTGCTTTTATACGATTGAAGGAAACCTTAATACAACAATTCAACGCAGACTTCTATCTGCTAAGTTTCCTAATGTTACAATATATCCACGTGATCTACAAAACTTAATCCAAAAATATAAAGTAGCAGATCAGGAAGAAAATGATGCTTCAAAGCTTCTAAAACAGTTACTTAACAAAAAAGCTGAGGAACCGGGGTGGGAAATATTTTGGGAAATTCACCCTGAAACAAAAAGCCTGGATAAAGTGTTCTGGATGTTATCAAAGCAGGTTCGATTGTGGATTATATACCATGATGTTATATTGAATGATAATATATATAGAACCAATCAATTCAACATGCCGCTTTCCCTATTTATAGCAGTCGATAATCATTTTCGCACCCGTCTTGTGGCACAAGCGTTAGTTAATGATGAAACCAAGGAAACTTATGAGTGGCTTCTCACCTCAACTTTACAAGCTACAAATCACACCCCACGAGTTTTCATTACTGATGCTGACCCCGGGATGGATGTTGCTATTGACAATCAATATGGTGATGCGTACTTGCTTCATTGTATATATCACATTTCTTAAAATCTTATGTGCAACCTCAAGGCTTCTCTTGGTAGTTCCTATAATGATTTCATAAGAGATTTTTATTTGTGCCGGAATGATCTTTCTCCTGCTGGGTTTGATATTCGATGGCATAAAATTATTGAGTTCTACCCCAAGGCGGCAAATTATCTTAATTCTGAGTTATATTCTAGTAAAGGAAAATGGGCTAAAGCATACATGAATAAATTCTTTACAGCTGGCATTTTATCTACATCACGTGTTGAAAGTGAGAATGCTGTAATAAAAAATGTTCTTCAAGGCTGTCCTAGCCTTTGTGAACTTGCCGTTATTTTGGACCTTCGGTTAAGTGATGAGGCATGATATGTTAACCATAATGAATGGTACCATGCAAATACAAGTGCACAGTTGAGCGGTGCTTTTGCGGATTGTTTTCCTGAAATTGATCGTGTTCTCAAGGAACACCTTACTATAAAAATGCTTTCAAGACAAAGGCATGAAATTATACAATCACTTTACTATTATGTTGTAACAGAAAACAGAGAAATGCCTAATGACAAGCATGCTGAGAAAAGCTATGACACACAGCAAATTCATTTGGATTCTCTTTTGGAAGACCTTCCTCCAAACGATATTATTAAAACATACAAAATTCAACGACGTCATTGCGTTCATATTAACTATGTTATTATTTTGGTGGATCGTTCACATTTATGCATATGCATGCTACTTGTTAATTCTGGCTTAGTTTGCCAGCACTTTTGGCATGTATTTGCCATTGACAATGATGCGTTTTTTCATATGACACTTATTCCTAGGCGTTGGTATAATAATGAAAAAATGCAAGACTTATATTTAGATGAGCAGCTCTACATGACAAGCGTTGGCCTGGTATCTTTGTATGAAGGTTGTTTACCTTGTCCTTCACGTTTTTCAATGCACCAAATTGTGAGAATTCATGATAATGATGTTTTTGGTTCAGAAGTTTGCCGTGCAGTACAAAAACGGCATGATTATGGGAAAACTTTTGGTCTTGCTCGAAAGGCGGTTCAATCTGCGGTTGAGAAAAGTGGTGAATCTCTTTGTCACCTTAAAAGAAGCCTTCATAAATGGTTTGCCAAAGAACAAAGGTTGGCTCATGTTGACAATAATAATAAGGAGAATTTTAATCCTGAACATGTTAAAAATCCAATTGAAAGATGGCAAAAAGGACGACCATCAGTTAAAAGGTTAAAGAGTAGCACCGAACAAGTTAGAAGTAAAAAGCCTCAAAACAAATGTGGAAAATGTGGGGTTATTGGACATTATGCACCAACTTGTAATAAATAGAAGGTATAGTGAAAAAATGTCAAATAGAACAGATCATGTTGTTATTAATAAAAGGTTTATAATAAACCAATAATTCAACTATTTTGAGTTTTATATATCGATGGTTTTTTGATTAGTGAAAAATTTATTTATAAATCATTGTAGCTGTTTGCTATATTTAAGAAATCGGTTAACTTACTACTACTAACATTTAATAATACTAAGTAATACAAGAAAGTTAACCGAAGAAGCAATGAGAATATCAGAGAAGACAACTTGAAAGCAAAAAGAATAACAACCGTTAATTTAATTGGACAAGAGGATCCAAATATAACAATAAGGGTGAAAACTAAAAACTAACCTGATGATTTCCGTAGTAAAGATTCCAGAAGCAATAAAAATAATGCTTAAGCGTTGGACTAATTAGATGTCAAGACTGGAATGTGTGACAGGTTATGCCGATTGATCGGCATCGCCAATATTAAAT